CCAGGGTCGTCCCTACTCACGGGGGACGTTTCAACCTCACCAGGGTCGTCCCTACACACCGGGGCCGTTTCGACCTGACCAGGGTCGTCCCTACCTCACGGGGGCCGTTTCAACCTCACCGGGGTCGTCCCTACCACACCGGGGCTGTTTCAACCTGACTGGGGTTGTCCCTACCACACCGGGGCCGTTACGACCTGACTGGGGTCGTCCCTACCTCACGGGGGCTAAAACTGGGAAATTAACATTAAGATAATACTGTTAGCTGATGTGTAAGTCTTATTCAAATTTTGTCAATTGTCCCATCAATTTCCTTTTTCTGAGCTGGGACCCAATCCAGGATTTCATGTTGCATTAGTTGTCCTTTCTCCTTAGTTTTAAGTTCTTTAATCTGGTACAGTTCCTCAGTCTGTTTTTTTCTTTCATGATCTTGATTGACACATTTGAAGTGTATTGGCCAGATATCCTGTAGTGACCCTCAGTGTGGGTTTGTTGTTTCTCCTTATGATTAAATTCAAGTGATATATACATATATTTTTTTAATATGTTCTTATTGATTTTTGTAGAGAGAGAAATATCGATGAGGCACACATCAACATTGATCTGCTGCCTCCTGCACACCCCCTACTGGGGATTGAGCCTGAAACCCCTGCAAGTGCCCTGACCTGGAATCGAACGATGACCTCCTGGTTCATAGGTTGATGCTCAACCATTGAGCCACTATGTCTGGGCAAGTTATATAATATATATATATTTTTTAATTTTTTTATTGATTAAGTTATTACATATGTGTCCTTATCCCCACGTTACCCCCTATCCCCCCCACTCATGCCCTCACCCCCCCTGTTGTCTGTGTCCATTGGTTAGGCCTATATGCTTGCATATAAGTCCTTTGGTTGATCTCTCCCCTTACCCCCACCCTCCCCTACCTTCCCTCCGAGGCCCTACAGTCCTATCGATGCCTCTCTGTCTCTGGATCTGTCCTTTTTCATCAGTTTATGTTGTTCATTATATTCCACAAATGAGTGAGATCATATGGTATTTATCCTTCTCTGACTGGTTTATTTCACTTAGCATAATGCTCTCCAGTTCCATCCATGCTGTTGCAAATAGTAAGAATTCCTTCTTTTTTATAGCAGCATAGTATTCCATTGTGTAGATGTACCATAGTACTGATGGGCACTTAGGCTGTTTCCAAATCTTAGCTATGGTGAATTGTGCTGCTATGAACATAGGGGTGCGTATATCCTTTCTAATTGGTGTTTCTAGTTTCTCGGGGTATATTCCTAGAAGTGGGATCACTGGGTCAAATGGGAGTTCTATTTTTAGTTTTTTGAGGAAACTCCATACTGTTCTCCACAGTGGCTGCACCAGTCTGCATTCCCACCAACAGTGCACGAGGGTTTAATTTTTGACAGGAATACATACATAAGTGACATTGTGCCAACATCAGGGAGGCA